CTGATTACATGCTTTGGGAACAACCGTGGAGGAGGCTGAGTCTTTAAAGATGGGTATTTGGGGGCATCTGGGTGGCTCAATCGGTGAAGTGTCTGCCTTCGGCTCAGGTCATGATCCCAGGGTCCTGGGATCGAGTCCCACATCCGGCTCCCTGTTCAGCAGGGAGTCTGCTTCTCCCTCTCCCTCTGCTGCTCCCCCTGCTTGTGTTCTGTCTCTCTCTGTCAAATAAATAAATAAAATCTTAAAAAAAAATAAAAAGAAAGATGGGTATTTCAAAAGGAGGATGGCGAGAGGGGAACAGGGAGCAGGTCTTGTTTAGCTGGAACTGAATACAGGCGGGAGCAGTGGCACTGGAAACCAAAAAGTATTTCTGCCTGGAAGGCACTTTGTAGTTTACAAAATTCACCCACTCCCCACCTCATCAGGTCCTAAGTGCAGCCCTGTGAGGTATGAGGCCATTGTTGGTGAACTCGTTTCCCAGAAAAATAAAACAAAAAGCAAAACAAGGGGCGCCTGGGTGGCTCAGTTGGTTAAGCAACTGCCTTCAGCTCAGGTCATGATCCTGGAGTCCCGGGATCGAGTCCCGCATCGGGCTCCCTGCTCAACAGGGAGTCTGCTTCTCCCTCTGACCCACCCCCTTCTCATGTGCTCTCTCTCATTCTCTCTCTCAGATAAATAAATAAAATCTTAAAAAAAACAACAACCCCAAAACCAAAAAACAAAAAGCAAAATGAAACTGGGATTCAGAGTGGTCAGGTGACCTATGCAAAGCCATGGCACAAGTATGTGGCCAAGCTGGGACTCCGACCCCGGCTTCAGTCTCCTGGCATTCTTTTCCCTGTGACCAGGGTCATACTGGGGGACCTGAGTAATGCTCCAGTGTGAGTTTGAACTGAAGTGATGGGGAGCCACAGCAAGGATTTTAGAAGAGCTGTAGTTGGGGCGCCTGGGTGGTGGTTGAACGTCTGACTCTTGGTTTCACTTGGGTCATGGTCTCAGGGTTGTGGGATTGAGCCCCGAGTCAGGCTCCATGCTCAGTGGAGAGTCTGCTTGGGATTCTCTCTCTCCCTCTGCCCTCCCCTGCCACCATGCTCTCTCTCTAAAATAAATAAATCTTTAAAGAAAAAAAAGAGCTGTGATTATCATAGGCGTGCTGGGCCTTGGGCACGTGTGCTGGTTAAGGGGGACTGAGCACTGCAGTGGGGCTACGTCGCTCTGACAGAGAAAGTGGGGTGCTCTATGGGTCACATGGACAGGGCAGCAAGGGAGAGCACAGCTGATGTGGGCCCTGTGGGGAAGAATGGCGTTCATTCATTCATTCACTCATTCTTCCAATCTCTCTTTAGTAAGTGCCTTCCCTGTGCTAAGTGTCATGCTAGACATTGGGGATGTAATGGTGAACTTGACCACAGGGTTCCGACCCTCACAGAACTAACACTTCAGGGGACAGCGGATCATAAGGAGCAAATGAACAAGTACAAGAACTTCCAATTGTGGCTAAACAGGATCTTCAGGAACATGAGGACGTACACCCAGTGTCATGTGGTCTTCAGAGTGGCTTCTCTTGCTTGCCCTGGAAATCCCTGCCCCTGAGTGTAATGCAGACTGTGTTCAGGGTTCTGTGGGGGTTCAGGGAAGGGAGGCATCCTTCCTCCTGCTCAGAGTGACCTGGGGAAGGCTTCATAGAAGAGGATGCATTGAGGTTGGGCATTCATTCAACAAATATGTAATGAGCACCTACTGAATACCAGGCTCTGTTTTATTTTATTTTATTATTATTTTTTTAAGATTTTATTTTTAAGTAATCTCTATACCCAACATAGGGCTTGAACTCACAAGCCTGAGATCAAGAGTCGCATGCTCTACCAACTGAGCCAGCCAGGCACCCCCAGGCTCTGTTTTAGATGCTACTAGGGATAATCATTGAACAAAATGAAACAGATCATGTTGTACCATCTCAGAACTACTGAAAAGAGGATTGGTAATAAGCAAGGGAGACAAGAAAAATAGTATTTCAGGGGGTGATGAATGCTCTGGAGAAAAATAAATTGTGGAAGGGGGATAGTGAGTGGAGGGATGGATACTACATTCTTTGATAGGTGGCTAGGAAAGGCTGCATTGAGAAGATCACATTTGGGGGCGCCTGGGTGGCTCAGTCGTTAAGCGTCTGCCTTCAGCTCAGGTCATGGTCCCAGGGTCCTGGGATCGAGCCCTGCATCGGGCTCCCTGCTCCGCGGGAAGCCTGCTTCTCCCTCACCCTCTGCCTGCCGCTCTGCCTACTTGAGCTCTCTCTCTGTCAAATAAATAGATAAAATCTTTAAAAAAAAAAAAAAAGAAGAGAAGATCACATTTGACTAAAGATCTGAAAGATGTGAGAGAGTGAGCCATGAAATATATATGGGATGGGTGTTTCAGGGGCCTGCTGTGCAAAGGCCCTGAAGCAGAAACTTTACTGGATGTTTTCAGATGAGCAAAGAAGGCCAGTATGGTTGGAGCAGAGACAACAAAGGGTAGAGTTATAGGAGGCGAGGAGGTGTGGGGACAGGTGGGGCACTGTAGACCCCTGTAGCTTTTACTCTGAGAGGGGAAGTCACTGCCTTGAGGGCAAGTTGCCCAAGGCAAGGTCTGGGCTGGCTCATCTCTGTATCCCCCTCAGCATCTAGCACAGGGCTTTCACCTAAAAAATATCAAGATGCAATTTTTAAAAATTTTTAAAAGATTTATTTATTTTAGAGAGAGAGAGAGAAAGGGGGGGTGCAGAGGGAGAGGGAAAGAATCCTTAAGCAGACTCCCCGCTGAGCATGGAGCCCGACACGGGGCTTGATCCTAGAACCCCAAGACCATGACCTGAGCCGAAATCAAGAGTCAGACACCTAACCAAATGAGCCACCCAGGCACCCCAAGGTGCAATGTTTTTTAAAGAAAAGGATATCAACAGAGGGCATTTGTGTGGCCCGTGGGGAGTAGTCGGTAGGTACCCACTTTGACCATTCTCTTATGCAGAGAGCTCCAGTAGAGATGAGGTGGGGAATACGACTTGGTGGACAAAGGTGGGCAGAAAACAGGGAGCTCATTGGGTGTTCAGGGCAGGGGATGGCCTGAGGACAGTGGCTGACTAGCAGGGTGGGCTGGAGGCGAGATGGATGTAGGATGCTAGTGTACTGCTGGAAGGAGCAGTGGGCCTTGGAGTAGAGAGAAGCTATAGGCAAGAACCCTCAGCGAGGAGGCTGGCCAGCACTTGGACAAGGGAGAGAGAGAAGTTAGATATAACTGCAGAGGTTGTTGAGCTGTGTGCCTACAGGAGGGGATCTGTGAACAGTATTGGGAGAATCCTAGAGAGCTGGCTTCTTTCAGGACACTTACCATGTTCTGCCTTGTGTTTTCTTTTCCTCCTGCTTTCCTTACCCTCACCTCAAGGGCAGGGAGTGTGTCTTACTCATCTTGGCATCACACGGTATCCTGTATGCTGTAGGGCATTTAACAGGTGCTCAGGCAGTACTTACATTGAGTTATTTTGGATCAGTTGGGCTTGAGAAACACATGTGCCACCTTTATCCCATTAGTTCTAGAATCATCCCTTCCCTCCACATGCTGGTTCAGCTCTTCCAGTCCTCAATCAGGTAGATGCTATTCCCGGGCCTCTCATTAGCAAGGCAGCATATGCTTATCAAATCATGTTAGTCATGAAAGCCTGAACATGGTCAGAGGCTGTCTCAAGTTCAGAGTTAGCTAGGCATTTCTCTGGGGCACACAGAAGGAAGTTTCTCTAGAGGCGAGAGAAGTAGCCACTACCAACTAATCAAAGCAAACTGTCACCTGCCTCCTTTATGTCTCCTGAGGCAGTTACTATATAGCCCTCCCTAAATACTGCAGGCATCAATAAATGCCTGTGGTGGTGTTGGGGGTGGGGGAAGCAAGGGAGCTGCACTCAAAATTAAACATTCACCCAAACATCTATTGAGCATGTTCTACAATGTGTGGACACAGGCCCTGCATGTACCCTATTTTCAGAGGTCAGCTTCAAGGTTTTATTTTCCCAGAAGCCTCTGGACACCCCTCATTTGGATTAGGGCTGTCATAGCACCTTGAACTTACTTCAGCCTATCATTTATAAAATGGCATTTTATTTTTAATTTAAAGATTGTATTTATTTATTTGAGAGAGAGAGAGAAGCGAGAGAGGGAACAGAAGCAGGGGGAGCAGGAGAGGGAGAAGCAGGCTTCCTGCTGAGCAGGGGGCCCGATACGGGGCTCGATCCCAGGACTCTGGGGACTCCGGGATCATGACCTGAGCTGTAGGCAGACACTTAACGACTGAGCCACCCAAGTGCCCCATAAAATGGCATTTTAAACACCTGTTTTCTGGTCTGCATGTTCTTCTAAACTGGAAGCTCTTTGAAGGCAAAAACCCAGATTTTGTCCTCAGCATTGACCACATAGCCTTGTACAATGCAGGCACCACTCGGTTAACGACTGCCGAATTAAATCAGACAGTGCTGTAGAGTGCTAAGTGTGTAACCCGAGAATATCAGGGGAAGGCTCCTCTGAGCTGGATCTGGATGTTAGAAGAGTAAGTGGTCAGTTCACCAGGTGAAGCGATGAGAGAATTCCAGCTAGGGAATAGGTGTCTGCGAAGTTCGGAAGAAAGGTGTGAAATTCTGTGGTTAGAGCACAGCAGTATTATCTGGAAAGCAAGGGCGCTGGAGATGAGAGGCAACAGAACCAAGCACCTGTTAGGGTCAAGTGCCTAAAACATAGGTAAAGGCAGCACCCATGGCCAGAAGACAAAGGTCCCAACCTCCAAACCCCCTGAGAGCCAGGGACCCCACTGTGAGCGCCTCGCACCTCGCCTGTCCCGCAGCACGTGCCGCCCGCCCGCCGCGTACCCCGGCCTGCTCGGGGGCCGAGGGGACTCCCGGGGCGCCCAGGGAGGGCCGCCCGGGGCGGGGCGCGCAGGCGCGCTGAGGCTTCGAGCCCCAAGAGGCGGGCGGGTGCGCGCGCTTCCTCGCGCACGCGCGCACGGAGGGGGCGACGGCCGCGGTGACGCTGCTGCGGCGGGCTGGCGGCGGCGCGTGAGGCGCGCGATTCCCCGTGTCTTGGGAGCAGTGTCCCGGCCCCCGCCGCTCCGCTGCCGCCATGTCGGGCCGGTCGGTTCGGGCCGAGACCCGCAGTCGGGCCAAGGACGACATCAAGAAGGTGATGGCGGCCATCGAGAAAGTGCGGAAATGGTGAGGGGTCGGGCCCGAGGGAGCCGGTGGAGTCGCCGGCCCAGGCCCAGAGGAGGGCGGACTGGCTGGCGGGGTGGGAGCCGACCCGCAGACGCTTGGGGGGAGGGGGGGAGCGGGGGAAGGCGGGAGGAGGGTGCAGCTCGCGTCGGCGTGAGGTCAGAGGGCGCGCCGACTGCCACCAATCAGGGGGTCGCCCGGCTCGCGGGCCCGCCCACCTGCCGGAGGGCCGCGCGTCTCCCGGAGGGGCTGCCGGCTTCCGGCAGCGCTGGGGCTTCGGGGCTTTGGTCGCGCGCAGGACCCCGCGGCTTCCTCCCCGCGGCTTCCTCCCCGCGGCCGCGGGTCTCAGGAGCCTTTCGCGTTCTCAGCTGCTGCGTATAACAGCTAACAATCTCTGGGGGGTTCCCGCGGGCCAGACCGAGCGCTCTATGTATTAACTCGTTTTAAGTTTGGTGAGAGCTCTTGTGACGAGAGCAGGCGTGGTCATCGGAATGTAAACCCCTCTCTTTCCCCCAATACTGGCCCACACGGAACCAACTGTGTGGCTTTCTTTTTCTTGGGGCTGCGAGTTGTTGGTGAAGGAGTCGAGACCTACCCTCATTTGGAAACGGCGGGCCGGTTGACCGCCTATTTTGTATCAGGAACTCCGATGCATTATGAACAGCCAACTGTTTGCTCCAACTTCTTGAGTCCTTTTCTCTGGCTGACTACTAGTAATCGTTTTAAAACCCAGGTAGGGGTTAGCTCCCTCCAGGAAGCCTTCCTTCCCAAGACCTCCACCCCCTATAGGGGCATCATTACCTTGGATTTTTTTTTTTTTTTTTTTGCGTGTTTATTTGTTCATTTCCCCGCAAGTTCTTTCTCTTTGTATATAAGGGTTTTATATGTAGTTGGGACTCCTACATATTAGTTAAATAATTAATGATTTTTTCCCCCTCCAAATTTACTCCTCCTAGGGTTTTTAGGTGAAACCTCAGAATCACCACACCTTTCTTTTCTGGCCATCTCTGCCCACCGAGCCTAGACCAGATGACCATCCTCTCTCACCTGGAACTCTTAGCTTGCTTCATTACCCAGTCTATTTGTCACATTGCACTCAGTGATTTCACTTTTCTCAAGTGTAAATATTATCGAAGTACTCCCCTGTTATAGAAACAATGCTTCGGTGACCTCTTCTTGCTCTTAGGTTAGAGACCAAAGATGGTGCTTGCTGCCTCACCAGACTGGCTCAAATTGCCCTCTTTCCGGGGGGTTGCTGGCTGACATGCTGCCTGACATCCTCTGCCCTCTCCTCCTCCTCGCCTAGTTAACTCCTAGCTCTGTATAAAAATGCTTTCTCGAGGGACACCTTTCAAGATCCCTAATCTAAATCAGGTCCCCTTCATAGAACTTCCCACAATTGTATTAGATTGAATCATAAGACATTTCCTATATTTGACTTTTTAACTTAACAGAAGTGGCAATTTGATGTGGTTAAACCTAATGATTAAGTGACTATGAAATGAGTTGTTTGATGTCAGTTTCCAACTGGAATGAGGCTCTGTGAAGCTAGGAACTGTACATCTTGCTGCCTGCGTGCCCAGGGTCTAGCACAGGGTCATGTATAGTATTTGTTGAATCAGTGAGGAAGTGGAGTGGTCTGTCCAGGAATTAATTTCAATTTCCTAAGTCTGTGTTCATTCTTCTTTCTGTTTGCTGAACAGCATCATCAATATCAGCAGTCACAACAGTTTTTTTTTTTTTGCTTTTTTGTAACCTCACATTTGGAATTGACAAGTTCAGAAGTCATACTTCAGACTCCCCAACTCTGCTTGTCCGTAATCTAGTCCTTATTCAAGAATGTCACTTGCATTTCCCCAAATAGGGCAAATTTTTTTTAGGCTTATTTTTTTTAAGGCTTATCTCAAAAGTAATTTTCTCTGTAAGATAAAACCTTAAAGCACTCTTTTCGTGGCCCAGTCTTCACCTCTTTCAGAAACCAGTGTAAGACTTAGAAACATCTTATCCTGGAAGGGAAAAATGGCAGGAGTGGGGGGGAATTGGAGGGAGAGATGAACCATGAGAGACTATGGACTCTGAGAAACAAACAGGGTTTTAGAGGGGAGGGGGGAGGGGGGATTGGTTAGCCCTGTGATGGGTATTAAGGAGGGCACGTACTGCATGGAGCACTGGGTATTATATGAAAACAATGGATCGTGGATCACCACATCAAAAACCAATGATGTATGGTGACTAACATAACATAATAAAATTAAAAAAAAAAAAAGCATCGTATCCTGCACCTGTGATTATTTCTAAATGGAATCATGTTTCAACATAGAGTTACACAGGAGTCCTAAGAATTCTCCTTCTATGCCATAGCCCAGTTTTACCGTCTTTCAGCCTACTTTTCAACTTCCTTATCACCTTCATGTATCACAATGATGTCCTTACTTAGTTTTTTATTCCTATGTGCTCCTATGTGGGACCGTATCTTACACATTCTTTATCTCCTGTAGGGCCTTGTATAACAGGGCTTTATAAATATCAGTGGAATTGAATAAATTTTTGAAAAATAAAGAAGTAATGCCAGGTAGATACCTGAGTGTGAAAATGTGCTAGTACTCAATATGGGTGTAGTCTGGGAGGTAAAAAGAGCTTTGGTACACTGAGAAAAGGCAAGTTTCAGAGCCAAAGGAATTTGATAGAGAAGTCTTTCTGGAAGGGATGATTTTGCAGGGTAAGGTATAGGTATAATTGGATGGGAAGTAAGTTTAGAAGGCATTTAAGATTGAAGGAGCTTGGGGCACGTGGCTGGCTCAGTTGGAAGAGCATGTGACTCTTGATGTCGGGGTTGTGTGTTTGAGCCCCATGTTGGGTGTAGAGATGACTGAAATGAAATAAACTTAAATTAAAAATTTTTTTAAGAGATTGAAGGAATGATCGATCTGCTGAGAAGTAGAAAATCACATTATGAACAAAAAATGTTTCATTATTTTCGGTTTTAAGAAATGTCTTTCTTTCAGGGAGAAAAAGTGGGTGACCGTGGGTGACACGTCCCTTAGGATATTTAAATGGGTTCCTGTGACAGATAGCAAGGAGGTAAGTGTGGAAGAAAATCAAAACAACAAAAAGGTACTGTTTACTTCCTTTTGTTCTTTCCTTGATTGTCTTTTAATTATAAAGGAATTTATTTCCCAAAATGGAGTTGAAAGTACTTAAAGGCACCCTGTGTGGTTGATCCATGCAAAGCCTCTCTTACTTTATTATTTCTCCCCTTTATTCCCTTTTCTTAACCCATTCCTTTTTTCTAAGGCTTGGTGAACCACAGCCTAGGGCTGCTCCTTGTGATTGTCAATGTGGTTTTATCGGAACACAGCTATGCCCGTTGGTTTCTTTATTGTCTGTGTCTACTTCTGAGTTATAATGGCAGAGTTGAGTAGTTGCCATAAGACCTACACGCCTGCAAAGCCTAAAATATTTCTTAGCTGGCCCTGTAAGAAGAAGCTTGCTAACTCCTGCTCTTATCTGATTAGCTAGCCACTATAGTGTATTCTCTGTGTTTTATATGTATATATACTTTCCTAATTCCTCTCCCATGCGTTTATGTGGATAGCTGTGTGTTCTTGAAAAATACATAGCATTGGAGCACATGGGGGGTGCAGTCAGTTGAGCGTCCAACTCTTGGTTTCGGCTTGGGTTGTGGTCTCAGGGTTGTGAGATCGAGCCCTACATCGGGCTCTGCACTCTCTGTACAGTCTGCTTCAGATTCTTCCTCCCTTTCCCTCTGCCCCTCGAGCTCGTGCTTGCACGCTCTCGCTCGCTCTCTCTAAAATAAATAAAGAAATCTTTAAAAAAGAGAAGGAAAGAAAAATACATGGCATTGTATCATGTTTGTATTTTAAAATTTATAGAGCATTGTGCTAAAAACTTCTGTTTCTTTTCTTTTGTTCAACGTTGTTTTTGAGAACTGTCCACACTTCTGTAATTGTAAGTAGAGTTACTACCTTTGAATCTTGCATTTCATTCTCTTATATGCAGTGGCCACATTTATCTACACCTTCCCTGAGCGATAAACACCCAGATTGTCTCCAACTCTTTTTCCCTAATTGTTTTCAAAAAGCTCAAATATAAAACACATACAGAAAAGTATAAAAAACATAAATGTATGGTATAATGAAGAAACATAAAACTAGCACCCTTGTAAAAACCACCCAGGTCAAAAAACAGCATTGCCAACTTCCTGAGACCTGTTTGACTTCTCCCAGCTTCCCCTCCCTCGCCAGAGGAAATCTCTCTCCTACTTTTGCTTCTCTTATCACTTCTCTACTCATTTGTAAACACTTTTAACTTTATATAAACAGCATCATCTGTCTATTTTTGTGTGTCTTCCTTTTTTTGCTCAGTATTATGTTTGTAAAATTCATCCATGTTTTCTTTGGAGCCATTTGTCCCTTTTCATCGCTGTATGGAATTTTATTATAGGCCTGTACCATGATTTACCTCTCTAATTCTCCTGTAGATGGATATTTGGATTACTCCCAGTTTAGGGTAGTAGGAACAATGTTCCTGTGAACGTTCTTATTCAGTATATGGGCCAGCAAATGCATGGGTTTTCCTAGGATATATTCTTAGGAGTGGAATTGCTGGGTCTTAGAGTATGCGTATGTTGACCTATAGTAGCTAATGCTAAACTGTTTCTCAAAGTGATTGTACCAATCTGTATTCCCACCAGAAATAGGAGAGTTCTCATAGCTTCGAATCCTCATCAACATTGGTATTGTAACTTATATGTAAAAATATCTTGTGATTTTAATTTGCTGACTAAGTATGTAGTTACCAACAAGTTTGAGCACCTTTTCAATGTTTAGGATTGAACCCTTGGGATTTCCTGTTTCAGGAAATGCCTCTTTAATCCATTTGATTATTTTTTCCTTATGACTTAGTAGGAATTCTCTGTGTTCTAGATACAAACCCTTTATTGATTATATACTATCCCAATCTTTTTCCATTCCACGGCTTGCCTTTGCACTTTCTGTAGGCTGCCTTGAATCACAGTTGTTAATTTTATTATTATTATTTTTTTAAAGATTGTATTTATTCATTCGAGACACAGAGATACAGAGAGAGAGAGAGCATGAGCAGGGGGAGAGGCAGAGGGAGAAGCAGGCTCCCCGCTGAGCCAGGAGCGGGACGTGGGGCTCGATCCCAGGACTCGGATCACAACCAGAGCCAAAGGCAGATGCTCAACCATCTGAGCCACCCAGGTGCCCCACAGTTGTTAATTTTAATGTAGACAAAATAATCTTTTCCTTTATAGTTAGTACTTTTAAATATCTTAAAATCTTTTCCTTCTTCAAGGCCACAAAGATAATCTTCCATGTAGTCTTCTACAAGTTCATTATTCAGTCCCCATTTGTAACATACCTGGCATTGATTTTTGTGTATTTTGAAGTAGGGGCCCGATTTCATTTTTTTCCACCTGGATGTGCATTTGTCCTGGCGCCATTTATTGAAAAGACTGTTTTTTTTCCTCCCGCTCTGTAGAGCCACCTTTGTCATATTTCAAGTGTCTGAATATGGGTCTGTTTCTGTGTGTTGCCTCCAGGTTTTTGGGAGCACAGATGACTGCACTGGACATCCCTTACACCATTGTTCTGGATGACTTGTGGGGCAAATACCCAGGAGTGGGATTGCTATTAAGGGTGTACATACCAGTTGTTGTTTTGTTTTGTTTTGTTTTAATTTTTATTTATTTATTTTTAAAAGATTTTATTTATTTATTTGACAGAGAGAGACACAGCGAGAGAGGGAACACAAGCAGGGGGAGTGGGAGAGGGAGAAGCAGGCTTCCCGCTGAGTAGGGAGCCCAATGTGGGGCTCGATCCCGGGACCCTGGGCCCATGACCCGAGCCGAAGGCAGACGCTTAACGACTGAGCCATCCAGGCGCCCCACCAATTGTTTTTAATAACTGCTGCCCGAGAGACGCCTGGGTGGCTCAGTCATTAAGCGTCTGCCTTCCGTGTGGGTCATGATCCTGGAGTCCTGGGATCGAGCCCCATGTCGGGCTCCCTGCTCAGTGGGGAGCCTGCTTCTCCCTCTCCCGCTGCTGCTCCCCTACTTGTGTGCTCGCTCTGTCAAATAAATAAATAAAATCTTAAAAAAAAAAAAAAGAAAAAGCAACTGCTGCCCACTCTCTCCCCAGAAGGGCTGCACCAGTGTAGTTAGTACTTCCCTGGGAGTGCCAGGGGCTTCCCATTTCTACAACTTCACCAGCATTTGATATTATCAATCCTGCCAGGCTGCTAGATCTCTTTGTTTATTTTACATTTCCCTGATTACCTTTGAGGTGGATGATTTCATCTCTTCAGGTTTCCATTCAGATTTCCTTTTTGAATTCATTTGGATATCCTCTTCTCTGATTTCTTTTGCGTATTTTTGTTTTGGGTTTCCTGTCTTTACCTTTCTGATTTGCATGGATTCGTTGATATCCTAGACACAGAAAACTCCGGTCAGATTTGTACCTTGCAGATATCTCTGTCTGACATGTTGCCTGTCTGATAACTTTGTCAGTAACAGGCCTTTAATTTTTTTGTGTCAAATTAATCAACTTTTTCTTAAGGTTTTTGCTTTTTGAGTCTTGTTTCAGAATTATTCTCCACTGCATGGTCATAAAGAATGTCTCCCTCTCCTGCTACGTTTTGTATATATTTTTTAATGATGGAGATATGAATCTAATTTTAATTTTCCATCATACAGAGAGCTATTTGCCCTAATACTATTACTAAGTAACCTATCCTTTCTCTCTTGATTTGTGATGTCATCTCTGTTGTGTGCCATATTCATATCTAGATGTTTTTGAATTCTCCATTCTGTTTTGTTGTTGTTTATTTCTTCCTGGAAAGTGTATTAACTCCTGGGCTAGTGTGACTTTTATTTATAATATTATATTAAATTATACTTAATTATATTAATTTATATATAATTTATCTAAATTATAAATTTAGTATTTATTAAGTAGGACGAATTTTCTGCCTTGCTGTAGGTTTTTGGGAAGATAGCCTTTATAAAATAAAAATTCTCTTCTCTTTTTAGTTTTCTAAGATTCATTAAAAATTATGAATAGATGGGTGCCTGGGTGGCTCAGTTGTTAAGTGTTTGCCTTTGGCTCAGGTCATGATCCCAGGGTCCTGGGATCCAGCCCTGCATCAGGCTCCCTGCTCAGTGGGAAGCCTGCTTTTCCCTCTCCCACTCCCCCTGCTTGTGTTCCCTCTCTCTCTGTGTCTCTCTCTGTCAAATAAATAAATAAAATCTTAAAAAAAATTATGAATAGATGTTGGGCTTTATCCAGCATGCAATTTTCCTCCTCTAATCTGTAATGTATTAGTATGGTGAATTATATTAATAAAGCATCTGATGTTGAAACTTTTACATTCTTGTATGCCTAAGAGAAATTCTACTTGGATATGCTTTCTTTTCCCCCCATAGAATGTGGTGTTTAATTCACAGATACTTCATTTAAGATACTTGCATCTGATTCATAAGTGAAATTGGTCTACAGTTTTCTTTTATTATGCTGTCTTTACCTTGTTATGGTATTAAGATTACATTCGCCTCCTAAAACAAATTAGGCAATTTCCCCTCTTTTGATTTCTAGAACAATTGGTATAAAATGAGAAAGTTTGGTAGAAGTCACCTTTAGTACTTTCTGGGCCTTTGGTGGAGGGATGTTAACTATCATCATGGTAGCTTTAATGGTGATTGATGCATTTAGGTTTTCTCTTTTTTTTGGTACTTATTTTGCATTTTATATATTTCCTAGAAATTTATCCAATGCAAATAGGCCATTGGTTCTTTAATAGGGTTCAGTGCTAGGTCCTCCCCTTTCTTCATTTCCCCAGTTGTGTCTAGAAATGAGGCAGGGCACTTTTCGGTTGGCCAGTAATGCTAACTCGGGCAGTGCATGACTCAGTCTTGTATAATGAGGAATTAATTGGCCTGTTCAGATGCCAGCAATACCCTGAACACTGATCAGAGTTGTCACATGTGTTGGTATGTAGTTATTTGTGCTTTTCTTACGTACTTTAAAGTCTTTGTTATA